TGCGCTTGGGGCTGCCCTCCTCCAGGATGGGCAACCCATCGCGTTTGAGTCCCGTAAGCTCGGGAAGGCGGAGGTTAATTACTCCGCCACTGAACGCGAGCTTCTGGCGGTCGTCCACGCCCTTCGTGTGTGGCGTTGCTTTTTGGAGGGCGCCTCTTTTCGGGTCGTCACGGACCATTGTCCCTTGACGTATCTAAAGTCCCAGGTACACCTCAGCTCCCGCTAGGCTCGCTGGTCGGAGTTCCTGCAGCAGTTCGATTTTGCCTGGGAATATCGCCCGGGCCGAATCAACTGCGCCGACCCCTTGAGTCGGCATCCGGCCCTTGATCCCACTGATGATTCCGCGGCTCTACCCGCGTCGTCCTCTGCGCCCACCCCGGCCACGCCCCCTCCGGTTGCATTCATTGCGGCTCTGTCTCAGCCCTCCCGCACCGGTCAGCGTCTCTCCGGCCTCGCTCAGGACCTGGTGACTGCCTGTGCGGAGTACGCGGATCTGCAGCGTGATGCCGCTCGCCATCGATTGGTATGCCATGGCGCCCTTTGGTACCACGGCAATCAGGTCTTCGTGCCTCCCTCTATGCGGTTGCGCATCATGGAGGTAGGTCACTGCCCCTCCTATGCCGGCCATTTTGGGGAGACGAAGATGGTTGATTTCATTCACCGTTATTATTATTGGCCTCACAGCCGTCGCGACATTGCGGCGTTCGTGGCCGGGTGTCATACCTGCCAGGTCTCCAAGCCTCGTGCCAGTCCCTCCACGGGGGAATTGCAGCCGCTCCCCATCCCGGCTCACGAGTGAGCCAGCGTTTCCATGGACCTGATTGTACACCTCCCGCGTACCTCCTCTTTCCCTCACTACGACGCCATCGTCGTTTTTGTGGATCGCTTAACCAAAATGGTCCATATCGAGCCCACGCACAGCGCGATTGACGCTGCTGGCTTAGCCGACATCTTCATGGAGCGGGTTCACCGTTACCATGGGATTCCCGACTCCATCATCTCTGATCGGGGCCCTCAGTTTACTTCGGCCTTCTGGCAGGCCTTATTGTCCCGCCTTGGCGTGCACTCTCACCTCTCCTCTGCCTATCACCCCCAGACGGATGGGCAGACGGAGCGCACAAACCGCACCTTGGAGGACATGTTGCGGCGGTATATTGGGGCTGCCCATACTGATTGGGATCGCTTCCTCTCTTGCGCTGAGTTTGCCATCAACAATGCGAAACAAGAGAGCACAGGTTTCTCCCCCTTCTTTCTCAATTATGGGCGCCACCCTCAGACCCCTTTTTCTCAGTCGCTGCCCCTCAAACAGCGCACCTCGCTGCCCCTTCGCAGCAATGGCCGCGGTCCCCTGCGTCAAACCGCCAAGGCCTGGGCTCAAACCCACCTGCCTCAGATCCCCGGTGTGCCTGCCTTCCTCCAGGATCGGGCCTCCGCGTTACGCCGCGCCAAGCAATGTTTGCAGAATGCCCAACAACGCATGAAGCACTGGGCAGATCTTCGCCGGAAAGCCGAGTCGTTTCAAGTGGGGGATCTGGTGCTTTTGTCCACCCAGAATCTCCACTTGAAACACCCCGGTACCAAGAAACTTTTGCCCAAGTGGCTGGGCCCATTTCGGATTCAGACCCGCATTAATCCCGTTGCTTTCCGGCTAGATTTGTCTGTCGCCCTGCGCCGGTTGCACCCAGTTTTCCATGTCTCCTTGCTTCGCCGGTACATCCAGGGCTATTCGGTGTTGCCTCCTCCCCCTCCTCCTGTCCTTTTGGATGAGGAGCTTGAGTACGAGGTCGAGGCCCTCCTCCAGAAGACCATTGTCTGCCGTGGTCGGACCAGTCAGCCCTACTACTTGGTTAAATGGAAGGGTTATGACATGAGCCACAACTTCTGGGAGCCTCTCCGTAATCTCACCCATTGTGAGGAAGCCTTACAGTGCTTTGCGCTTCAGGCTCAGCAGGACCCTTTGCTCATTCGCCCTCCTAAGGAGGCATTTCAGCCGCCGCTTCGGCGCCCTCCGTTGTCTTCGACCTAGCCCTTGGCTGGTCCACATGCTCCTCTTGAGCCTCCTCTTTCTGTGCCTTGTTTTGCAGCCCTCGTCTCCGGCTGGATGAGCCTGCTCCGCCTTCCCCGCTGGTCTCCGGGCCGGGGGACATTTACAGGATGCTCGCGGGTTCACTCTTCTGATCGGGTTGGCTTTGCGGGATGCTTGCTCTTCCCCCTGTGGGGGTAGTATGGGGCCATTCTTCCCCTCTTTTCCTTGCCCTCCCCTGCCTGACCGCCCAGGGGTTTTCGGCGCGCCTTGGGTACTACTGCGGCCCCTATAGGGTGCCCGCGTGGCCTCCCATGGCTTGGTACGGGTCTCGAGGCACGCGATGGCGGATTTTTCATGGACCATCCGAGGGGCGCTACACTGGACAGGTCACCCCCTTCCTTGTGCATTGCCCCTTGTTACGCCTCTTACCCATTTTTGGGGGGCAGCTTCGGCGGGCCTCCCCCTCTGGTGTGCCTCTCCCAGCCCCGTTCTTACCGGGGTCCAGTTGTATCTTCTGCCTGGCCGTTTCCCCGCCGGGAGTTTCTCCGCGGTCTCACCTATCCTGCCGCCGATGTCCGCATTCGGCATCCACGGCCCCATCCCATTTGATTATATTATATTGTTGCGGGGGCACTCCCCTTCGCTGCCACATCCCACTGTCTCCCTGGGATTTTCTCGTGGCCCTCCATCTTCGTTCCGCCTCACCTCCTCGATGGCGTTCGTCGCCCCTGCCTCTCCCTTCGTCCCCCGTCCCTTCGGCGGGCTCTCGACGTTTCCCCTCCCACCGTACCCCCCGCTTCTTGTGTCGGCTTGCCAGCTTCTGGTCTGACGTCGCGGGTCGCGACTAAAGGGGGGGGGGGGGGGGATGTACCGCACTAACCGGTACCCGGGGGTATCGACAACTCCCCTACAGTAACCGGCCCAAGAGGGCTACAGTTACGATAGTGTAGGGGTTAGAGTGCTTAGACCGGCACTAGGGCGGTGGCCACCGGTATCTGGGGTACCCCCAGGTACCGGCGCTCGGGTGTGGCCCCAAGTACGTAGTACTTGGGGTCCGGTGCTGGGTCCCAGCTTAATGGCCTTCGAGCGCCCGCACCGGCACGCTCTCTCACCCCCTGTTGCGCGCTGCCGCACAACACAATGCGCCTCCCCCCACGGGGCCGGGCACGCGGACTCCTTCCTGGCCGATTCAGACCCCTCACGGGGTGCCTGCCAGGCACCGCCTGGCCGGCCGATGTTCCTCTGATCTCTTGGATGGAGACCCACCCGCCGTTGGGCTGGGCTCCCCCTTGTGCTCTCGCCCCACGTGGCGCGCTTCCGTCGTCCGCGCCCGCCGGCTTTGAGGTTTTCGGTTGGATGCGGGCGATGGCGCCCACCGAGGCATCTAATGAGGCCACGGGGCCTCCTTCGCCGGATCGCCTGCGGGCTTTCTGGGGCGCTCGTGTCTTCGGGTACGCAGTGTGGGCCCAGGCCACAAGGATGGCCGGGTGTGGGGCGGTTGTACGTGCAGTGGGTGTGCGGCGCCGTGCAGCTCGCAGGTGCAGCTGCTGGGAGGCGTGAGGCAAGGAAAACAAAATGTTACATTATTGCATGATGTGGTCGCCCTTTTGAGGCGGCCACCTGCGCGAGTCACGTAACAATTCAGCGTCCCATATCGTATCATGTCCAGTGATAGTATTTCATTTCCCCATACGGTCCAGGAGTGGCCCTTAACAACTAGAACTTCAACTAACAATATCTCCTCAACCGCTCAGCCAATTGGGGTGGTTCAAAAACCTATGGACTTCTAAGAAAGTCTACTTTCCCATGAGATATGCTAGTCACTATACATTCCACTTCCCAGATCCCAAGTAGAGAAACATTAACTACCCCCTGCAATTTACACCACAAAGGTGGATATGGCCGCGGATAGGCGCAGCGTGGTGTAATTAACTGACCCGCGCGGCAGGTGGCAACGCGGGTTGTGGACGTTCGTCACTCGTAACAGAGTCCGTATGCAAGCGCGGCGGCTGTCGCTCGCTGCACAGGAGCAGCTCGCCATATGCTGTGCTGCTCTATGCATTTGACGCGCGCCAGTCTGTCTCAGCGCCTGATTAGGCAGAAGTTATTCTTAGTTAAGAAATGGCCCTACCGGGTGATCCCATTACTCTTCGGATCAAATGGGAAAAGAAGATAGGCGCTGACAAGTGGTAAAGAAGCCGTGACTTATTCCTAAACCTCTTGCAAGTGCTTGGTCCGCAAAGAATGCATTAAAATTGATGAATTTGTAGCCAGTGAGGCTGCTCACCTCACCTATGATGGCATCTAGAATCCCGTCTTTCAACCCAATGAAATCAGCAAATCCTTGAATGTTTTTATCCTCAAAACCACCCGGAAATTGCATATGACATTCACATAATGTTGTTGAGTCATCCTTGCACTAACATAAGAATTGACGCTAAGGAAGGTGTGGGTGGGGTCTCAGCTTAACGTCAAATTGACGTTAGGCACAATAAAGTCGACATAGCGCCTTCCCTTATCTGCCCAATCAATTTTTGCTTTCTCTTTGCTTCAATTTGTTTGTGTGCGCTTCAGACATGCGAGCATTCCACCGCATAACACCTGACCCAACATGAACCAAAAGGGAATTCATATAATGTGCGGTGAAATTGTTGTATCATGATGATTGACACATATCAGTGCTTGCATATCATAGATTGCCGGTGAATCATAGATAGTGTCATCGCAACAATTTGCAGTCACAGCTGGATTGTGCAACATGTACAAATCTCAACCTCAAGTGCCTCCGTATTGCAAATGAGACTTCCACCAAAGTCGGGGCAGCTCCGTCGACCCGCCACGCTCAGCTCCTCAACATGTTTGCGAAGGGGATCCTGGGGCGCTTGACTGGCTGTTCAGCCGAGCACAGCAGGAGAGCAGTCAGCGGACGCCAGCCCCTTGTCGCCGTGGGTGCCCAGGCCCCAGTGAAGGCGAGATGGTCACTGGATGCAAGGTGTGTTCTGCTGCTGCCCAACTGTGTGGACATCTTGCGAACCTGAAAAGCCAACGGTATCGCGCATCAAATATCCTGTATCACTGCCGTTCAATATTCCCCCCTCAGCCATGATACAGTGCGCATCCTCCCATGAACGATGAGCGGACACTCATCGGCTGCCTTGACCATCTGCTAGAATAGCTTCTCTCAACCACGTCCCGGGGTGTTTACGTAGGTTTGGTCGCAAACGTCAGGCCCTGGAATGCTTGCAGGAATGGTTGGACACCGTCGGGAAGGAGGCGGGCCTGGTCCCCGGCGATGCCAGCATTGCGTGTGGAGCCGTTGGCGCTCCGGAGTCCCGCATAGAGGTGAGGACAGTGTTCAGGGGCGCTCTCCGGGCAGGAGCAAAGCTCAGTGGGCCAGCTTGAGCGCACATGTTCACGAAAAAGGGTCCTGATGAGCCTATGCACAAACTGTTGTGTTTGATAATGATCAATCAATGATGGGAAGCATGAGTTAGTTTACTGTTGCTCCACGCAGAACCTAAGGACTATCGGTTTGGGTCTTTGGAGTTCCTATTGAGAGACAAGCGCAGATCCATGGTGCGCGGGACTTTTGCTGCTCATGGAAGAACTGCACTGAATCCATTCTGATTTGCACATGTCTCCCAGTGCATAATGAACTGTTGCACCTGGCCAAGATGGACACATGCACAGAGACTGCAGTTCTTTCGTCTCCAAGGAGCCACGTTTACGCACACCACCACTCCCACATAGTACTGTTGGCAGTCATGACGAACAAAAAGAAGTGTAACGATTTCCCCTTAGTCAAAGCAAGGAGTTAGGGATGCATGTCATTCAATAAGATGAAGCTGTACCAGTGGTATTCATTCCATAGTGTTGTTCCAAGCATCAAGAGACAACCAGAAATGCAACCCAAAATGAACAGTCACACCACAGTTCACCACCCAGGTACATGATCGTTGTGCTCCTTTATGGTAGTGTGCTGGTCGAACTGTTGGATTACAAGTTGAAACCAGTCAGAATTTTCTTTTAGGGAGAAACTGCTTATGCTAAGGCTGGTGCAGATGAGGCCAAGGCCACAGAAGTGCCGCAGGCATTCTAACTGTTGATGTGGATGTAACTCCTGCTGATTGCATGAGCCACCAACATATGGCGCACAAAGCCTTGCAGCAAAAAGACGATGATAGGCGGAGTAAGCTCTAAGACCTGTTTGTTTGGTCTTCCATTTTGTGTCAGCCACTGTACATGCTGTAGTATATTGACGTTCAACTTTACATTTCTATCATGTTTCACAAGTAGTTCTGTGGGGATGATGCTACAATGAACTGCAAGTGTTGCTGTGTGCGATTCATGTCCTCTGCACCTGCAGTTAGAGGTGGAGTTCCAGTCGTTCGGGGACCTGGAGGCCTTCTGGAAGAGAATACCACAAGACAAGCAGCAAGACTGGAGTGAGGGAATGGAGAGGCTGGTGGTGGATGGCAGTCCCCAGTGGAGTGTGTACTACTCTGTGCCATCGACTGGGCAGCTAGTCTTGGCGACTGCTGAGAGCAGCCTGGATGCTGCAGCAGCGCAAGGCAGGCAGGACGCCAAGGATGACGACACACTGATGGCCATTCTCCACGGTGCCCTTGAGACCACTTCTTCGCCGCCCTCTGCGGGCCCCACTGTATGTGCACCTCTGAAGAATGTGAGCTGCCAACCAAGTCGTCAGAAACTGCGATCTAATTTGTTGTACATAGTGAATCAAAGCCCTTGCCCCTAAACTGGCGATGTTGTGAGTGCATGGGGCTGCCAATTGGGGACTGCTCCAGTGGCTTCACCAACCTGTGTGTATTCACCTCTCCTCCCGCATCTCAAGTCATGCAGGTTGTCTTTTTATGACCAATGCAATAAAGGGATCTTCCATGAATCGCATCACAGCATGGACAGCATGAAATGCGATTCGTTTTCGAGGGTGTCTCAGGGGTTGTTTTGGAACAAAGGGCACATAATCTGTCACTGAGATGTGATGCACAATGTGGTGTATGGGTGAGATGACGTTCACTTGTCAATATCACTGTAATGAACAACAGCTATGTCCTGTATCATTTTGGGCAGGGCGTTGCTCTGACAAGGATTACTTGCAAATTCCACGGCAGCCAGGTGTGTCAATGTTCCTCGACTGTCTTGTAGACTTGCAACACTGGATGCAACCGAAGCAAGGCCTACAATCGCTTCTGGCAAACTGTGCACTAGCTATTGATTCCAAAGTTGCACCATCGATGGAAGTGTTGCAGCCTTCCAGCAAAAGGCTGCAGGCATTAGTAAAGTGCCAATCTGACCAGCCTGCTGATGTTTCAAGATGCAGCGACACAATATGTATATATGCACACATACACCAACAGTAGGTTGGAATTGCACGATATGGTCCCATTGTAGAACATGGTGTTTGTGGTGTACGATTGGCAGCTGCTAAGCATGGCAAGAATGCAGACCGAAATTGCACGATGTGAGCGTTTCTTATCACTGGTGGGAGTGCCGAAATAGACTGGTGCGTCAGCGATCCTTCACATGCTTGTGTCAGGTGGATGCGGACGTTGGCGATGAGCCGTGTGAGTCATCAGACGCCAACAAACAAGTTGTGCTGGACTGGAAAGGAGATCCAATGGTTATTAACCCAAATGACAATCTGCCATTGGGATTCTAATAGGTGATGCAGTGTATGATTGGTAGCATTATCTGTTGTGACCAAGGCGAAGTCGGCTTGCACGCAGCTTGTCACACTGTTGTATGGGGTAAATAGACATGTGAAAATCACCAACAAAACTCTGGCAGTTTTTGGTGGGTCAATGGCAAGATTGCAATACTTTTCTTTGCTTTTCCATGTTGACTTTCGGATTTGTGCTTGCCTCAGCTGCTGGGCTTTGCTTGCTGCGAAGTGCACAGGGTAAAGGTTGTGGCTGTGTATCATCCATTGGGTGCGCACGCCTTGTTAGCTTACTTGTTTCGAAGAGACATTGCTTGTCGAAATCCCATTTCGATTTCCATGCTCCACGGTGTGTCAAAATCCCATTTCAATTTCCATGCTCCATGGTGTGTGCTGAGCACACGCCAACCCGACGTCACCAGCTGATGGGACCATTCTCCACAGCTGTCGAGAAGATTCCCTTGCACAGCAAGGGGCTCTCAGCTGCCCTGGCAGTTATGCACAACCGCAGATCCTCTCCTAGAAACCACTCGTTGCCCTGAACTAGCGACCTCGCAGGTTGGTATGCATGCCTTATTCACTATGGGCACCAGATCTGGTCTGCAGGGTGTGTGCACACCCAGACTTTTGTGCCCACATCACTGGCAAATATACTATTCATTGCACACAGTTTGTAGCTGTGTCCAAATTGTGCTGAAATGGGACGTGTATGCAGTTGCCATATTAAATCAGTGCATTGAACCCATGGCCAGTGAATGGACTCTGTCCTGGTTTCCTCAAACCTGGCACCACGCTACCAGGCTTTCCCCCTTGACAGCCCCTTGGAAACAAGGCACGAAAGATACACCAGCCTGGGAAAATGGCACTTGAGGTTCTTCACGGTGTCCAAGCCAAACGGCGCGTTCATGGCCACCGCCCTTGAGCACATGTGGCACAGCTGTTTAGGTTGAGGCAGTTTTGACCCTCGCACTTGCAGAAGTTGCAGTATTAGTCAGGCAAGGCGCATCGATAGTACTAATTTGCTCCCACTGATGTCATTCCAGGAGTGGTGCAAAATTACTCTCCAGGCGTGGTCCTCTGTCCCTGCTTCGTTGATTTCGTAGCAAGATGTTCCATGAAGACAATTATCACAGGACAATGTTACATCCGGACCAGCCAACAGCATTGCTGCTTTGCTTGGCTGCGTCAGTGATGAGCCATCGGTGGAAGGAAATGAAGCTCAGATGCAAGTGCGCTCAACACATTGAGAACATAATGATTTTGCCACGGCGATGGTCTCTGCCGAGCGAACAGTACTGGGCATTTTGACTGACGGAACAAACCGATCCATGCCGCCCGAAGTGCGCGTTGTTGCACCATACGGTGGCGATGCCGTTCCCGATATGGACCACGCATATGGAGTCCCCGTGCTTTTCTGCGCAAACCCTGAAAACCCTAATATGCCTCAACGCAGAAGAAAACCTAACGCTCGACCGCTGAACCCCAGCACCCCCGCCCGTCTGCGTATCCGTCAGCATCTCGGTTTGCGTGGTCAGAATACGGCGCAGTATGACGGTGGCAAAGTAACGGCGCCCACAAGTGCGAAGCCCAAAACAAAGCGAAGGGGAGGCACTTCAAGATTCGCAATATCTCAACAATGCCGCCAACCACACTCTCTGCCGCCGGCCACCACACCTCTCGGCCCTCCCAGTCCTGCTGGGCCACCGTTCGTACTGCGGCTACTGTACCTCCTGAATCTCCCAATTTGGCGAATCTTGGCTCCAGGCCCGGGTGGCCCAACGTGGTACGGCCCCGGCCCCAAGGGGCGCTGATAATCGCTTACTCACCACCCCAGGTCGGGCCCTGCCTGGTCGTCATGAGCTCTGAATAATCGTCAGTCGTGCGAAGGCTTTATTTGAGGGCGGCCATCCACGGTGCCCAGGCTCGGCAGCGCGAAGGGGGGAGGCGGCAGCGGGACCCAGGCCAGGTCGCCAGTGCGCCTTTGGCCACACGGACGGGAGGACAGTGAGCTGGGCCGCGAAGCGCGCCGGACATCGCGACATCGGCGCCTTGCGGCCAGCAGCTTGCTCAGCGGAGCGGAGCGGTGAGCAGGCCAGCGGCGGCATGGACTGATTCGCCCCTGGGGTGCCCGTGCCCGCCGTGGGCGCCACGGTCGGGGCGAAAGCATGCGAGGGGCGTCGCCCTGGGGGCGTTCCGCGGGCCGCAATAGCGCCGGCCCATTTGGCGTCGGCGCCGCCGGGGATCAGTTTGCTGCAGGGTGGGGCTCAGGTGGGCAGCCGCCCGACTGGCGGTGTGGCCTATCTTGTGGGCCGAGCGCCCCGGGGGGTCGATTGAGGTTTAGGGGCTTCTTTTCGCGTTCTAGAGGTCGCTTCGCGGCGGGAAGGGAGGGGGGAGTGCGGACGCGGAGCGCGCCCCGTGGTGCTTGGTGAAGCTGCCTGCCGGCAGGGGAGATTGACGGCGGGGCTGCTGCAAAGGGCCTCTTGGGCAGCGTTCGGGGCCGGGGCGATGCTCAGAGCCCGCGCTCCGGGCGCTGGTTTGCCTCTGCTGGAGGGTTGCGTCGCACGTGGCGGGACGGGGTTGCGGGCGGCGCTACGACGTCCGCGCGCTGTGGTGCGGAAGGCGGCGTTCGGACGGCAGGGCCTCGCGCGATGGCCTCGAGCGTTGCCGAGGGGCTTGCGGGGCGGGTGGGGGCTCCGGGCGCGTTCAGTCCGCCCGCGGATCGGTCCCATGTTAGGCGGGGCCCCGCTGCGCCCGCGCAGATCCCGTCGACGACTGGGTCGAAGGGGCCTCGGCCCGACCTGGGGGTTGATCCAATCCGGCGCCGCGGCCATGGCGCCTGCGACCTGCTCAGTGCGTGTCCTGCTCCCTGGTGATCTTTTCATGCCGAAGCAGACGTTGCCCGGTTTGCCGGCGGTGGTGTTCATGTGCGTCTTTGTCCAACTCGCGGCTTGGGCGTTCGCTCGGACAAGCGCGAAGGGTGGCATGGCCGCGCGCGACGCCCTTCCCATGCGGGTGCCGCTGTCGTGGGGGGCTCTCCCGCCGGCCTCGACCTCTGCGGTGTCTTGGTGCAGCGGGGGTGGGGGGTGGCGTGCGCAAGCCCCCCCCCCTCCTCCCTTTTCGCAAACTACTAGGTGGTCCCACGTGCCGAGAACGTGTCGAGTCGCATCGCGGCACGACAGCGCACATGCGCATTCAGGGAGATCCAATCTGGCCAAAGTATCGGCGGTACATTCAAACGGGTGGCCAGGGTTTCGGCAGCCTGCAGCCCAGTCAGATCCTGTGGAGGTGTGGATCTGCGGCCAGATCAGCCCGTCGTTCGGAAACGAGTGCACCGGTGAAGGGTGGCAGCCTCTGGACGCGCGACATGACAACCAAGGGGAGGACCCCGAAGTGCCCGGCTCATTGCCTCAGTGTGGGCATTATCCCTTACATTAACAACTGCCCCAATCAGCTGATCAGCTGGGTACTACCCGCAGGCAATTCTGTTTTTCGACCAATATGCGGCTTAGCAGTTTAATTTGCGGCCTCCCTACCCGCAGTATCGTACTCCACCCACCCTCACTCAATTCAACGAGCCTACAGCCACACCCCGATGTGCTGTCAAGGTCTACCATGGCCTGCAAGGTGCAGTGGGCCCTCTGACTCGAAAGCAAAGTTTATGAAGTTTTAGCCCCCATATGCTTTGGCAACTACTCAATTGAGAACAAGGATCGAGCTGCAGTGTTCGTTGCGATGATTTGGGCTGCACTGTGTTGAGAGGAGCTTTGCCTTAGCCCCACAGCATCCGGTTCTGAGATGCCACCACTTCCTCCCCTGATAAGGTATGTCTGGGCTGTGGCTGTCGATGAAGAAGCAGGAGCAGCAGTCCTATTGGGGGCGTGGGCCTGACTAATGCGACTGCCTCACTCTGTGTAGTGGGAAACTACCTCAGGTGACCACAGCCCTTTTGTGACAACAGTGGCCTCATGCGCAGGTCACTACGTTGCAAACGACAGGCCCTGATTGTGCAAAGGACACACGGCCCATTCGTGCATGGGTGGCATGTGCTGAAGGGCCCCCCAGCCGCGTTGATGGACCAGAGCAGCACGCTGGCAAGGCAGCAGGTGGTGGGCAGTCCAGTGGTGCAAGGGGTAGCTGCTGCTGAAGCTATTGAGCCTGTGGCAATGGCAGAAGAAGCAGCAGGAAAGGGCGACGGTGAGATGCAAAAGGTCCCAGCAGGGCCGCTCAGAGTGGCTGCTGTTGAAGAAATGTGCAATGCGGAAGACAGATCGTCGTCCTTTGATTGCAGCACACAGGAGAGCCGTCTGCCTCTGTACAGGGGGCTCTTAAGCAGTGCTGTCCAGCAGAACCCAGGGCTTAGGGCAGACTGGGCGTCGAGAACGCTCGCAGGCCTCTTCACAGACTTTGGGGCACAGAATCTTGGGTGCAGGGTGTCTGGGCAGCTCGCCTCAGCAGCCTCCAGGCGCAGGGCATTTGGGCACTTCGAAGATGAGGGCAGGTCGGGCAAGCACCCAGACAAGGGACCCGAAAGTGGGGTGCCAAGATTGTGGAGAGTGCACAAGGCCAAAGCTGAAGACCTGGAAAGAACAGCGTCTTGCATAGAGAGGGACGTGGCAGGGACTTCATACAGCAAGCTCAAGACTGCTCCCTGTCTGAAGGCTGAAGAAGAGGAGCTCGACAACAAAAAGGAGACAGCCAGAGGGAACTCAGATGATGAGCCGGAGTCGCTGCACAACATTGATGCTGTGCCACCAAGCGGCTGTGGTTCCGGTAGGAGCTGTGACTGCCGATGCGCTGCTTCCGATGGGTCTCCGCTGTCACCAGAGACAGAGGAAGCACGGTCTGGTGGGAGTGTGGGGGGCGGGTCGTCCCTGATGAAGATTAACATCAAGACATGCAAGGGTGGTTGGGATTCTGCAATGGAGATGAGCCCCAAGGACAAGCGGCCCTGTTCCCGTTGCCAAGGCAACCAGGCTCCAAGACTGAGCGTTGAGGAGGAGGAAGAGGAGGCAGCTGAGAAGGGGAGTCAGAGCCAGACGATCTGTGACTCGGCAAATGCGCTGGAGCTGTTTAGTGATAACAGCTCGTCGGAGGACTGGACTGCAGCATGGGTGGCGAAACATCCTAATAACCAGCCGGGCTGCAGCACGCATCTCATCGCAGATTATTCCTCAGATGTGGGTGCAAGCGGAGAAGGACTCAAGGCCCAAGGGCGTGTTGAGATGCTGAAGGAGTACAAAGGAGACATGCCACTTATGCGGAGCAGAAGCCACCCCGTTCGCGGTAGTGGCAGTGTCGTCGAATTCGTGAAAAGGAATCTCAGGAGGAGGCCAGCCAGGGGGATGGATGCGCCGAAAAAGGGCAACAGATCGAGGTGGTCGCCAGTTGCCATGTGCCTGGGGGCCACCTCACGGGGCCCGAAGGACGGAGAACATCAGAACTATGAGCTGGGCAAAGGGCACCACAGCAGGGCAGCATCTTCGGAGGGGCGCCGTCTGAGATACAAGCATGCTGCAGTTCCAAAGATGGTCTCACGATCGGCATCAGCTTCGGCATCGTCAGGCCTGCCAAGGCAGTGCTTTCAGCAGGACGTGTTCCTAGACAGCAACGTCCCAGGTAACTTTCAACAATCACCATGGTACTTGCCCTCAAGTGGAGCAGATATTGTGTACCATGAAGGTGGGCGCCCTTCCTGCGTGGACAGTCTCTTCAGCGAGTTCAGCACAAAGACACCAAAACGTGCTCAGTTCTGGCCCAGCGTGGGCACAGAGGCATTGCCTGGCAATGGTCAAGCGACAGCACAAAAGCCCAATGCCACCAATCCCAGCCTTGCTCATCCCTCTGCCACTGGCACCAGTCTCTTTGGCGACTTCAGCACGTGCACCCCAACTCGGGCTCAGTTTTGGTCTGGTGACTGCAATGCGCATGGTGCCAAGTCAAATGAGAAGATGGAAAGGTACAACTTGTGTGATAATTCTCTCACTATATGGGTTTGCACCGCTTCTGTCAACAGCGGAATTGAATGCAATCAATGTGTACAGGCAACAATTTTGGAGCCAGTGGTTCAGAACTGATGGGGGCTAAGTTCATGTCGATGTTTCTGATATGTTTTTCACTGCAAATATTGTATGCAACTGTGGTTTGGAGACACACCATGTTGAGATTTTTACTACACCCAGTGCGCCCATCCAATTGTAGTCTCGGTTATGTGGCGTGTTCCAATTCTGCGCTTTGTGAAGGTTCCTCAGTTTTGCCTCTGTAGATAATCGTCTGGTGTGGCACAAGACAGTGTGCCTCGCCAAACTCATGTATCTCATTTTGGTTACAGGAGTGTCGAACGTCAGCAGCCCTTGAAAGCCGATGTTTCTCAGGCTAAACCTGTCTCCAGTGCACTGTCCAAGACTGGGCCAAGGAAGCCTTGCGGTGAAGACAATTCGAAGGACACGTATATAGACCGCTGGATCCAGGACGGCCTCGATGCTGCACAGAAACATGGCAAGTGGGCGCCTGTCAGTGGATCGCAAAGCACCTTGCTCGGCTGCCTGAAGCCCACTCTAGGCCCCGAAGTTGCTTGGGAGAGCCTTTCCCCAACCGTTGTAATGCAGCCCAAGGCTGGCCAGCCCACCCCTTTGATGGTCAAAGTGGGCGCACCAGCGGCTTCATCTTCCTTGGGTCCAGCCAAGTTGGGTTTGCTCAGTGGCATGCAGTCTGTGGACGACTTCAAGAAATGCACTGGTGTTTGGATGCTGGACCACCTACTGTCCAACAACTTCGATGCCATTTATCCTTTTATGGAGCTGGGCTGGTGGAAGCGGGACTCCCCAAGGGCCAAAGAGTTGTTCAAGGTAACAGCTTGGTTGAATGTGATGGTGCCCAGGATTGTGCCCTGGGACTCTGGAATTCTGGGGCCCTCCGACCAAAAAGTTGCTTGCCACATGCCAAACACCGATCGAGGCAGACGCAGCATTCACAAGGAGAAGGTGCTCACAGCCGAACCCCCTCGATGGAAGAGCTCTGCTTCTTGACTGTTGTTGTCTGCCCCATAGGTGGATGAGATCTGTTGCAATTGTTGTGCTGAAGCTGCTGTGCTGCTCACAGCAGCTTATCTGATCAGCCTCATAGGGGTCCGTTCTTGTCCAAAACAGTTGCTTGGCGGAGGACATTCTGAGCAGTTTTGCCTTTCTCCTGCTTGCAGCTGAGGGTCCGTGGCGGGGCATTCATATGGAAATGTGATGTGCTACGTTTGTGCCCACACGGCACACGTCTGCCTCTTTCTGGTGTGCCCGTGACACAGCGCCGGGTGGATGGACGACCTGGTTTCGTCATGGCCTGGGTGGAAGCCCGCGATGAGGGCGTTGCCATGATGTGAGAAACGTTTCTTGTGCTGTTGCACCTGTTCCTTGTGCTGCTGTTTTGTGTTTTACAGTTTTGGTGTTTGTTCTGTGTGTTGTTCTTCTGTTTCCACTCCATTGAATTCCAAACGAACAGCAAAATGCACTGTATATTGGATCCAGTCCCAACTTCCTGCTCTGCTGTTTGCTGTTGCACACAGTTCACTAGTGCCCAGATTTCCTGTCGTTCACAGGTTAGTTTTGCTCCTGCAGGGCCACATGGGGTGAACCACATGGTGGAATGTGTGAAGACCTCTATCAACTGTCTGCAGATGCGCAATTTCTGGTCAGGACAACAACGATTATGTGCAATGAGGGAAACAGCAGTGTCGTCAGGTGGGAATGTTCGTTATTTCTTGCTGAAAAGGTTGATCAGCAATTTATCGTTACCCTTGTCAGCTTCAGTTACCACTGATCATCCACAAGGGACCTTGTATTGGTCTGGTGCAAAACAACTTTTCCAAGCACATATGCAGCAATGGATCCCAGACCAAGACTGTCTGTGTTATTCCTTGGCAGTTGCTGCTCCTTAGTACAAGTACCAAGTTGCTGGGCCTTGGTACAGACTTATTGTGCTGTGCCGGGCCGCAGCTATGTCTGATGATAAAGTACTCTGCCATCGGCCGACAATGGCAAAGCATCAGATGTCCTTGTAATAGAATGATGGTGCCTGTGAAGTCATCAGATATCCTTGCAACAACATCATGCCGCCTGCGAGTTGTGGACCCAGACTTCCTTGCTGCGCTGAGTTCAGCTCAGCTGCATGGGCAGCAATTGGTGCAATGATAGCAAGTAGCGCTCGTCTGGATGTGTGCTGAACTTGTTCTCAAGCCATGCGCCTCACTGCAAGCTAGCACTTGCGGGCACAATGCTATTGCCCATTGCATTGTGGTAAGCTACTTAGCTACCCTGACAGTGTCTCTACCATGAGGCAGTAATCCATATCCATAGGTCTGGAGGGCAAAAATGCCCCTTGGCCAAGGGCTGCATGTCAGCACAGCTGCTTTGCAGTGTGTTAGTTTGCTTGTTTGTTTGTTCGTCACAATGATGCATCGATCTCATTACTGGCTTGCGGACATTTTCTCTTGTTCAGTTGGGGGTTTTCCAGGGGATCGGTGGCAGCAGTGACCACCATTAGTGGCGTCCGTTTAGATGCACAGGTGGGCCAAGCTGTGCCCTTCGTATGCTGGATTTGTATGCTAAATAGATCGACATAGCAACATCATATCGATTGCTACTCACTTGGGGGATCGCTAGTTGCTTTGCAGTGCGTCGAGCCTTTGTACATGTTCTGATCGGTGTGTCTGATGGGTGTGATGCACAGATGGGTATTTTCACAGGCAAAGTGCTGCAAGTCTTGATCCACGTTCATCGAGATGGCCAGCATAGACGATCTGTGTATCTACTGGTCGACTGAAATGTTAGCAAAATGTGCGAGAGACCCTGAAATGCAGGATGGGGTGCTTTGGTCTGTGTTGGGTTGGCCAACAGAAATGTTAACTACAAAATGTTTGAGACACCTTGAATTGCAGGATGGGTGCTGTGGTCAGGGTTAGACATAAATAAGGACACCTGATGACTGTTTTTATTGTATATTTTGTATACCTTTGCTGGAGCAACTGGTGGCCTGAGCATGGGGGGGGTGCACAGGGAATTAAATATTTAGAACCCCTGCAGGACCAGGTGGGCAGATTGCATTTCCGACGTTCTGAGGTCAGTGCTCAGACGTCTGGATGCAGTGGACTGTGAAGATGCCGATCGCTGCTTGTGGCTCACCTTCGTGACATAGTTAACTGAGCGAGAATGCTCTCAAAGAGCGGCGCTGCTGTTGCAGCGGCGAAGACACCGGATGGGTGCAGACAAAGCGAGCCAGGGCGCATCAGGTGTGGGACCTGTAAGGATAGGAGCGGAACAAGACTGGACACATCGAAATGATATGCAAGACTACCCTGACTTTTTCTTTTTTTGTCTGCGGGTGTTTTTATACCGATTTGGGTTGGTTTGTTGGGTTGCGAGTGCGGCGTGAGGCACTGCTGCTTTTTTTAGTCTCCTTCCTCTGGCTTCGGTTTTCGTCCAGCATCAGAGCATAAGGCGGCTGCGGACGCCGCCGATGGTCGAGGCTTCACTGCACTGGCTGTGTGGTTGCTGGCTTGGGCTGAGCAGCAGATGTGGAGCTGGGCGTGTGCCATAGAAAAGGTGCACACGCTGGGTAGCTGGCAGCTGCCGGTATGGCGCGGGTTCCTAGGGGAAGTACCCACATTTGGTGGGCTGCGGCGAGGCCGGTGGGTCCCTTGACAGAGGAGGCTGAGTCTGGCTGTTTCCTGGCCGAGCAATTGCAACAAGTCTCAGTGTATCACAACAGCATGTTTGGTTTCAAATTCTTCAGTGGCTGCTATGGAAGGAGTTGGATGCGGTTTCAATTTTTTCATGTATGCTATGGGGGTGGGGGCGGGTGGGCTGGCAACCGTGGGGCATTTCTGAGGGAAGGCAACCGAATGTGGCGAATTTTGATTTCGGGCATTGTCACATGGGGACCTCGGACCAACTCTGGGGATGCGATATGACTTGAGACGATTCTTTGCGGTGGGCTGTTCGTTGTGGTATTTTTTGAATCGCCTGTGCATTCTGTGCATGGTGGCGGCTTTCGTTTGGCCAGAGTATCTGCGGCCGGTAAAGATGTTCTCTGTGCTCGCGGCGTCCTGGGGGGAGGTGGGCGGACTTGGGCGCCGCCTGCACTGATACTTCTGCCTCATCGCTCTGCTCGACCCGCGCTTGTGTTCATACATGATAGTCACATCACTGAGACACTGCGGTACATTCTAATTGACCTGTGCCCATTACCATCACGAACCCGAGGTTCCTACAAACAATTTTCCCCAGGCGCTTCGTCAGTAGTTAAGCCACTACTGGACTACGATTCACTCTGAGTCAGCCCCTAACTCCTGTACTGAAACCGTCTTCATCCCGCACATACACCGAACTCTAGGACGGGACAGGGTGGCAGCGAAGCAACGTAGACATAGAATGGAATTATCAGTTATTGTTCTCTAAGTTTCTTGAGCCTTGCAACAACAGATCTGCATTTCTGGCCAGCTGTCTACAGAGATTTGATCGCGAAGCTCTGAACGCGACTAGATTTACATCCCTTTGCATGAAATTGTGTGCGGCTCTCGTTCTTTTCCCAACCATTGCTACTTCAAGCAACTTGCTATCTTGTATTTCCCTTGGTGTACATTGAAGTCTAGACTAGTCCATGGTGAAGTACCATCCACTCTGTCGGCAATGTGTCATCCACCAAGTGAAGCAACACCATGACGAACTGAAGATTGAACATCCTGGGCACTGGAGTGGGGTGCACCTTTTCAATGCACTGCCAGAACATTTGGGCGCGCAAACATTCGGCCTCTGTGCAGTGCGGCTCTCTTGAAGGAAATGCCATTGATGCAACCAAATGGCTCCCTTTTGAACGCACACGAGAAGCGCGAATCCACAATCGCTGGTGCTTCAACGGTGCTGGCACACGGCCACACGCAAGGCCACAGCCACACACGAAACGCCCAGGGATTACATATTTGTTCACCCTTCCCACAACGAAGAGCGTTGGCGACAATGGCAATTCAAATCTCGTTGCCCCCACAGAACTCCCCTTTTCATGTGACAAGGACCATCATCCATCACCAATCAGCCACGTGATGCTTGAGAGATGCCCACTCATCGCCACATTGCAGCCATAAAACGTATGCCAAATTGCCCATATACTCCATGTTAATGTAGAAATGTTTCAACTGCGAGTGCGACCAGAACCATAGCATTTGTCTCTGAATCAGATGGCATCTCCCGCAACAATCAGATTGATGCTCACAAAAGTCCCATCATATGCGAAATAATTCTGTGAATTCTAAAGCGCATTTTTCTTCTCTTTTCATAGATGTAGGTCGCCTCGCATGTAAACCATATTCTTGAAGTGTACACAAGTCGCAAACCATAATACATTAATGATCCACCCAGCGAAACGGTGGGTCATTATGTGGTGTTGCGAACAGCTCTTCAAAGCACATTCACCTGCTGCTGCAACTATCTGATACCTTCCAGATTGCTGCATTCAGGTGCCCTTTCTGCTTTTTGAACTTGGGTGCATTTTGCTTTCCCTTGACTGGCCCGCTCGAAGGAACATGCAGCTGGCGGAGAACAAGCGCTGCAGCTTGTAATTAGGAGCCGGTCATCGACAGAGTTGGTGCAATGGCTTGGTCGACATACTGTTCGCGCAGGTGCATAATGACCACCGTTTCACTGAGTGGATCACTTATGACTCAGCTGGCGAGGGACTCACGTCTGATGCACATTCTGACTGTGTGGGATGGCCGAGTATGCCACCACCGGCTAGAAAAATGAAAAAAAAAACAGAAACAAAAACTGGTCAAGTGCTTGCGTTTCTAGTAGTATAGCAAGCTGGTTGTGAAAATTGAGAGGAGTTTTTGCCTCAAGGGGAGCTTGGTGACGACTGAGCGAAATCCTATGTAGCAAGAGCATTTCAATGGAAGCTGCCTCACCAGTATTGACCGCAGCTCTCAATTTCTGCAATACCGGTCTCCTTCAACCCCCCCCGTGTTCCCCACACGACAATACATTACATTCACACAGTTTGGTGTCCATCACCTCACTAATACAATACCCGTTCGGCGACCCACTTGAAATGTGCCCTCGCTTCGCATAGTACTTCATGCCACTCTGATAGTGACTCAACCCAGCGTCAGCTCCCCTTTCCTCGTACTCCACTCCCTCTCCATCCCACAGCTAACCGAACTCACTCTATTCGGGTGGGCCGGGCGGGTGCGAAACAAGATAAGGGGGCGCCAAGGGTCGCGCCTGAAATAGCACTCCCACTTGCCGCCAAACTCCCCGCCAAACCCAAGGGCCAGCTTGACCGGTCCCCTTGGCTGCGCCCAAGGTACAAGGTTCAACCCAAGCTCCCTTGGATACGTCGGGCAGCACTGACCCCGAGTACAGGGGTGACAGAAACCGGCTTACGACTGGCCCCAAACTGTCCAAAAGGCGGAACGGCCCGACCTGGCCGTTGCGCGCCCTCCCAATCGTCGCCCTTCGCAGAAACCCATTAACAAGATAGTTAATTCCATTTCTGCAATACTGGTCTCCTTCAACCCCCCCCGTGTTCCCCACACGACAATACATTACATTCACACAGTTTGGTGTCCATCACCTCACTAATACAATACCCGTTCGGCGACCCACTTGAAATGTGCCCGTTCACACTGGAGCACGGTGCAGCTCCTCAGGAGCGAAGGCGTGGTCATGCCTTAGTCACCCACGGGCGGATGACGCCCCTCCTGGGCAGAAGATGTGCCCGTACTGCGCGTGCAAGTCGCGGGCAGTGATCGTCATCCAGCCAAACAAACGAAAGTCCCATTCGGACGGCAGCCGGTACACGTCAATGTACCTCCACATGACGTTACTGCGCCACTCCCCCCGGGCGCGGATGCGGCCTTCAGGCACCTCCAAGGCGTAGCAAGCACTGGCGCCCCCACCGCGCAGGCCGTGGTGATCGAAGGGCTCCGGGGGCGGCGAAGGAAGGGTGCGCTGCAGCAGAGGAAACCAGCCGGAAACCGTCCGCGCGGAGGGATCTTGCTCACCAGGGAGCGTGTAGAAATGGGTAGGGGAGGCGCCAGCATCCGCCCACGCCTTGTCCCGAGCCGCCGACCAGCGGAGGAAGAGATCGATGACGGATGGCGCGCCGTCCGAAGGCCAGGACCGGCACCGGATACGCGGGTCCGTAGAAGCCGAAAGCTTGGTCCGGCGTTCCCGGAAAACTAGGAGGCCGTTCTCCACGCGGAGGTCGTCAAGGAGAACGAGATGGCCACTTTACGCCCGGTTGAAGAAAAGAAAATCCAGCGTCGCCGAGCACGCAGCACGGAGCAGCAGCAGATCGGAAGTCGTCAAGCCAAGGTCCAGGATGCTCCGCAGAAGATCCGTCGGAACCGGCCGATGAGAATGGGCCGGCTCCGGTTCTTGCCGCCTCCACGCGCGGGTAAGGCGCCGGGTGACGGGGTCGAAGGCGGAGAAGTCCAGATGGCCCATTGCTTGGTGGACCATCGAAATTGCAGCCAGATATTGTGGGAGGCTGCGAACGCCCACACGTCCCTCCTCCCGCAGGAACCGGATGTAGCGGTAGATCGTCGAAGGCCGCGCGGGGAGGCTGGCCAAGTCGTGCGCCTCGCAGAACGTAGCAAAGCGGGTAAACTTGGCATGCATGGATCGGCGGGTTGACTCGGTATAAAAGGAAAGAAATTCGGCCTGCATCCAAGACTGATCGGACGCCAACAGTCCGTCCACCTCGCAGCCAAAC